AACCGGCCAACAGGGGAGGAATTCTGAACTTTATGAGCTGGGCGCTGAGGAGATTGAAAGCCCCGTGCCACATCACTAATTACACTTCTACGAAGAAAAGCAAAAGCAAATCCCCCCCCCAAAAAAAACAATACTTCCATTAAATAATGATAAGTGGGTTACTGTGCCACTATAAACCTGACAAAGGCAGGCCAATATACAATTCAGCGCCTCACAACAGTTACCATTTCCCCGGCTGGCCCTCAGGTAATTAATGTTCTCTAAAAATTCCCAGCTCTCCGCCTGCAGCAGTGGCTTTAGGGGACTTCTGGAAACCTTTTTTTCCCTCCAGACAGCTCCTGGCAATTCTCTTTTTTTATTATTAATGTGAAGACGCCATGGAAAGGTTAGACTCATATGGTCAGGGGAGCCGATCGAAAGACCTTCAAACCGGATAAACTGCATCCCATTTAAGTCTCTACGTGTCGACTCTCCCCCGATGCCTCTAGTGTTTGTTAAACAGAGAGGAGGCCTCTCGTTGGCCGTGCCGTGACTGTTAAGTAACTCATCAGACTAAACGGACCCGTTTGGTTCGATGTTGCTCCTGAAAACCTTCACCTGTGAAACGATTGTGCTACAAAGTGGCTCGGCACGACAAAATGAAAGAGCCGCTCTGATGTGCTTGTAGAGCATGAAAATAAAAAAAAGAAAACGCACTCTCACTAAGCGTCCTGTTGAACTCGCTCACTAGACTCTTGGATCCTGGCGCAAGCTATTGACATTTTACTAAAAGACTGCCTTATTTGGCATGATTGCACTCTGGCATCTGTATGGCATGGTTCACTGGTCCCTTCAACCAGTCATATTTAACATGTTGTACTCCGACAGGGCCAAGTCCATCTATCCGAGGCGTCCGACTCGGCACTGACAGATTTGCCAGTCCAGCAGCCCGTGTGTTTATTGACAATTCTTTCTCGCTAGGTTCAGGGCTAATAATACTGAAGTCCCTGTGTTTATGTACAGCAAAGCTTGACAGCTCGAAGCCCAGCCTCCCTTCCTTTAAGAACCGTCTCTCTCTCTCTGTCTCTCTCTCTGTCTCTCTCTCTCTCTCTACTTTGTCCTCTAATTTAAAAAAAACACAATGGGATCTCTGGGGAAACTTAGTCTATTGATGAAACTGTCACACAACAGAGGGGAGGAAACTAGCGGTGGAGGTGGGGGGGTGTGCGAGGCTGTCACCTTTGCATCATATCTGCATTCAAATGTCTCAGCCACTTTGCATTGTTTCCACTCTGAAAATGCCCTGGAAGATGTAGGTCTCCTGTCTCGCAGCCCGCTCTATTATTATCATCCGCCACAACTCGGCTGCAGTCTCTGGGGACCGGCCATATTTACAGAGATGCATTCGTCCGGGGACAACTGCGGTGGGTTTGAGGCTGTAACGCGGGGTGAGGCGAGGTGAGAGCAATGAAACGCTGAAATCTTGGTTGAGAAACTGTAAACCCCAGACGCATCTCCGACGCCAGTGTTGTTTTGCGGGAGTACCATTTTGCTAACGTGACAGGAAGTCTCGCCTACAATGGCCCGGATTCCCCGAGAACAGTTGTGATGGGAGAGACAAAGCAGAAACCTCTCTGAAGCAATGCCATGAAAAAAGGAGTCCTTTTATCAGAAACTCAATTGAATGCCTTACAAAAGTCACTCATTCGGAAAAGTGGTTGCCAGGTTGGCGCAGTTATGTGTTCGCTTAATAATGAAAATGTCACATAAAAAGGAATAAAACGGCACTGCAGAAACCGGACATACTTGTTCGTGGTTTGTGAAACATTACAACATTTGCAGAAAACCTTATTTTTTTTATGTGTTCAAAAAAGAAATAGTTGCATTCAGCAACAGTCAATGTGTCATTTCCTTGCTTCAAAAAAACACTTTCATACAATTAATCGATGATCACAACAGTCGATAGCTGGTTTCATGTCTAGTCATTAATCGATTAAGCTGATCGTTGACTGACCTCACTCATCATTTCAGATGTATAGCTGAAGTTGTGCACTCAACTTCAGCTGATTCACCCTCGACTGAATCAGCACCACAGTAGACTGGACAGCTCCACCTCAAGCAAAGCAAGGTTCACTGTCGGCCTGCGATCAAACAGAAACAACAGTGTTACGCATAACTGTAGAGCGGAGCTATACTCATCTGGGATTGAAAGGTAGCCCGATACGAACATGTATGTGGAATAACCTACAGTATGTAGCGAGACAGGAACACCGGATAGCTGCAGGGGAAAAAATGAATTGCAGAAGAACGCTACGATTTGGACGGCGTAAAAAGAAACTACAAATTATCTTTAAATTGTCCTATGGCCCTTGAGGGACTCCATGAAACGAGGACAATACTGCAAAGTATTAACTGGATGCAAACAATAATGAAGAAAAGTCAAACGTTATTGCAATTAAATGTAAAGTCATATTTAAAACATTCCCATTGTGACCTCTAAGGGTTGAAAACTGTTCTTAAAGAACAAGGCGGGCACTGATGGAGCAGAAGAACACGACAGCACAGAGCGTTTTCGGAGCGTGACAGAAATCAATCACATTCCTGGGAACCCTTTGCTTTACAACATTGTTGTCTGTACATTGTGTACAACTTGACGCCCCTGCACATTTCCTTGTCCTATGAAGTTTGTATAGGGTCTACCTGCACGGTTGAGTGAAAGTAATCACAACTGTTGACAGAGCAGGTTACTTCTTGTTGTTGTGTTTTGTTCCGTTTTCTTCACGCGCTACAACACAAGTCAAAGGCGACATCAGCACACAGGACTCAGTGGAAACACATGGGAGATTTATCATCACCATGCACTGATGTGTGAGGCCTTTACAGTTTCAGAATTTACTGCTGCTTTCCTACAGGCAGACAGAATTAAACCGGCCTGGACATGAACACTGTAGTGGGGCAGATTTCCCTCCTCTCCCCACTCGTAATAGTCAGCGAGGGCCTGCTTTACGCTGAGATGAAGTGGATGGTTTATATTTAAAAATTCCATTCACCATAATGAGTATGGGTTTATGAGAAGGGGTCATTATGGAACTCTGGACCCACAATGAATTTAGGGTCTAAGCATAAATGCCACTGGGACAAGTATGGCCAATGCTGACTCGGTCTTCCCGGGCATATTTTCTCCTCAGTGTGCATGGAACCACACACTGATTCATCGGGTAAAAGGACAAGTTCAGTGCAGACGTCAGGGCTTGGTGTCGCTGACATTTCTGGGGTGAGTTTCAACTTTGTGTGCTGGTGGTGTTCAGATCATCTGCTCGGGAAAAGTAGCAACACAACAATCCAAAGAAAATGGTGGCTTACAAGTCCTGTGTTTCTAACTTTTAGAAGAAGCTGCACTTAAGACAATGATTGACGACTAAAAAACAAACAACAAACCACATAGAAACATATAGCTCTCATTCAGATACCACTTTGCAGACACGAGCATCCCAGCTCGAGGGACCAAGCTATCTGCGTTAAAAACTGCGGCTATGTTAGTTAGCTTTGCGAAACGTGACGGATGCTAAGCTACGTGCAAACTCTGCTCATTTCACCGGCACGTGTCGCTTCTATTTCCGCAGGTGCTACAGTAACTCGTGCTGCTTTTTTTTTTTTTTTACTTTTGGGTCACGAAAGAAATATTAATATATACATATAAAAGTAGTATCACTTCGATAGCTAACTCGGTTTTGGCGGCTCCTCTCTCACTAATTGACCCTTCTCATGGCAGCCATCTTTTCAATGAGGAAAGAGCACAGGCCATGTTAGTTTCAATGTTTCTTATTGTCTGTTATTATTTTAATAAGTTGCACATGTAATGTTACAATTTCTCAATCCCTGTCATTTCGCAACAGTCGTTCTTAATCCTTAACAGAAAGATATATTTATATTGAGAGCAATGATGTGTTTTGGGTCCTCCTGGGTCCTTGCAATTCATTGCCCACTTTTCTGTTTTGTTTATCATTTGTTGAATTTAGACAAAATGCTTTATTTGTAGTTCAAACGCAACACTGGGTCACAAGGGATATGAGTTGCAATACTACCCAGGGATTGTTCCACTTTATTTACTGCGTAATCCCAGACCATCGAGTCACCAGCACCCATCTCACACAATCGGACAGGAGTGACATACACCGGGTCAGTGGCTCTGGCTTTAAAAGACTTAGCCTTATTTATTGGCGTCAATGTATTTACATCCGACGTGATAAAACAATCTGTAACTGAAGCGTTTGATTGTCAAAGTCATCAAGCAGGAGTGTGGAAACCCTCCCTCTCTCTACTGCTCTCCATCTTAATCCATTTTCTGTGGGATGTTCAAAATGATATGTGGATGTAGATGGGTTAGGGTAACTCAATTGAGAACAATCTTCACAAAAAAAAAACAAATATGGTGATACCGAAAGTAACCCGCCTGTGTAGGAATACGAAAAAGTGGATTTGTCTCCGTGATGAGTCAGACTGACTCCGAAAGCGCAATTACTTCAGCACAGACAACTCATTTCAAATAGTTTCTTGCTTCAGACACATTTATCTTCCCGTAGAGCACACACTGTTCTCCCACTGCATCTTCCTCACAGGCTATTGTTTGTTAAAGAGACGCCACCACAAGACCGTTTGATGTTTAAAAGCTGCACTTTTCGTTTTAGGGGGAAATAAGCCACAACAGTAGAACAATCCAATTACAGAAGTTACAAGAGCATACTGTATATAGCTCTCAAGTCAGTAATGCAGACTGGACGGGAGGTATGTGCACATAATATAATGCCTTAATTATGCACGGCAGATTGTTTTTGGGGGGGGGGGGGTGCTAAAACTCATTCTACCTTGAGGGCTAGTATCATTTATGGCTTACACTTTCCTTGTTACTACAACTGGTACAATAGCAAAACAAAGCATATAAGGAAAGTAAAGGATCAAGGGAGGGTAGAGGACAAATAACACGACTTCAGTCTGCAGGTAAAGAAAGAAGAGAACAGCAGTTTCATTTTTAAATGTTTATTAAGATATAAAGCGGGCACATGAATATAAGAAACGTGGGCACTAATAAGTCAGCTCTCAACAACCACAACAAATTCCACAGCAAAGTAGTTTGATATCACTCGGGATTAAAAATCCAAACTCAAATACAGCAAAAGAAACTGCTGAACTGCTTGGTGCTACAGTACAGAAGGAGAATCCACCTGTCAGATAATCACACATCCAGCTGGAGCTCACAGGTGCCAAACGAGCTAAACAAAGATTCAGCACCCAAAGAACGACGCAGCAGGGTTTCAGAGCCTCGCTGGATACCGATGCACCACTATGCAGCAGAGCACTATGTATGACTGGACAAACATCCCACAGCTGTTACCTACAGTTACACAAAAACAAAATAAAATAAAAAGCTGTCTCCTGTTTCATTTTAAAGCTCCAACTCCTGGCAACTTGTTTTCTATAAAGTTAGTGATTAGTGTTCAAGCGTAAGGACAAGGAATAAAAACAATAAGCAAGAGTTTTAAGTCAGAGAAATCTCCTTTCCTCGCCCACCTCGAAAGTTGCGGAGAGAAAACATATTGATCCCTCAATTTGGACACATTCTTAGACTGTGGAGGTGTTTGGTCTCGTCGACAGTTAATGAAGCTTGTCGGCTTTGGAGAGTAACGACACACCGGGTCCGCTCGTTGTTTGGCCCGCTGGGTTCTTCCCAGACTCGGAGGAGCCGAGGCTCGTTTCCAAAGTTTGACTGAAATGAGTGGATCCGTGTGCGTATTTACCCGTTAAGCACCTAAACTCTGACACCTCGGTTTGCTGCATGATGCGAACATGGAAACAAAAAAACAAAAACAGAAAATGAAACTTGAGATGCTCAAATTATAAAAGAATCAGTCCAAACTTAAATGGGTACAAATCATTAGTCAGTCAGCGCTGAAAATAATGTTTAGCTCAGTTAAAACATTTTGAATCGATTATAGTGGCGTCACAAAAGGTATGTAGAAAGTTAGAAAACAAAAAGGGGCAGGCACACATGGAAATATATTGACTTTGGTTCCCTTAAGAAACCAAAAACATTTAAAATCCCACCAGCGAGCCCAGCACATCCAAACAGTTATTGCTCAAGTCAAAGTAAGGCAGACAGAGATTTTGCATAGTTGATATTTGCAGTACAGAAGGTATTTCGCCATTAATCAAACCTTGTAGTGGAAAACACCAGCAACCCCACAGTATCACTAGAAAACTGATTAGAATACAAAATAATCACAAGCCTCTTGGAATTAGTTCTTATAACATCTATGAAATCTGCTCCCTCTTCCTCCCATGAACATGAAAGAAACAAAAAAAAAAAGGGGAAATATATAATAAGAATAATAAAAATGCATTTTGTCCAGTTGATTTCCCTCTAACTGCATTTTCCTTGAGAAGAGACAGTTAACGCTTCAGCACATCTGAATGTATGGAATAGAAAGGAGGCAGTGTAGGAATAGAAGAGGTCGTACAGACGAGTCGTCTACGCAAAGGTGGAACAAACGCGATAAAACCGGTTCTTGTTACAGAACGACGCGCTTTATCCATCTATATATATATATATATATATAAACTCATTGGTCAATAATAGTGTGTTCTCTGTACATCCTGAACTCGTCTAGATGCTATCCATGGCCTTGAACTCGCTCAGAGCCTGCACGGGGTTGATGTGCTTCTTCTGAGAGGACCTCTTGACCTTGTTGGTTTGGTCGTCCTGCTTCTCTCTCTTCACCAGCGGCTTCTTCTCGGGGGCTTTCATCCTCCAGGAGATGGCGGGCATGTTCAGGGCCTCCATGTTTTTGCTCTTCTGGTACTTGGTGGAGGCGACGTATGAGGCCTTGACAGTGGACACCACCGTGTTCATCAGGTTCTTCGCGGCCTGGATGAGGGACATGGCGCTGTCCAACTGAGGAAGAGACGGGAGAGGACACTGTTAGCTCCGTAAAAAGCAAAGCCTGGTATTTTCTTTGGGGGGGGGGGGGGGGAATTTACATATACGGAAGAATTAACAAGCTTTCAGATTCCGTCTGGCATACAAACAGAAGTGAGGAAATTTGAGAATACGGAGAAAGGTCAAACTAATTTAATCCCCACTATTTAACAGCCTCAGAGACACGGGTCGCACTTGACTGAAGAGTGGGAAGCAAAGGCTCAATTCAGCACACAGAGAGGAATTCATTATTTCTTGCACACATTGACGACCTCTTTTAATTCATTTGAATGGCTAGTAAGTGGTTAATTAATGCTTAAAAAGGTTCTGTAAACACCGGCCTGGAACGGTCTTATCTTAACAAGTAAAAAGGTTGGGAAACATTTGGGTAACGTTGGTCCTTTCCAGCACACAGAGAAGCTTTTATTTCTGTTATCTGTTGTGTTCAATATTAAATATAAGCTGCTGATTACGGGGCAAAGACTGAATCATTAACTAAGCACAACAACACCAGATAAAACTTTAAGTAGCCGACGCATTCTATCGATTTGATTATCTTCCTAGCTACGGATTAAACTGTGAACAAACGCAAATCTGTTTACATGCATTGTTTCTCACCCAAATACATCGTGTGCATCCTTAAAGGCTCCACAAACACACCTCACTTTACATGCTTATGGGAATGATTTTAAAAGCGCAACGCAGGTCGTAACCTGTCGACACACGGCAGCTGAACTTACCCCGGAGACGACAAGCTCTCCTCCCAGGTTCTGCACCTCGGCCTTGACTTTGCTGCAGATGTTGAGCTGGTGGCAGTACAAGGCGATGCGCTGCAGGTAGGCGAGCAGGTCCTGCTTACAGGTGGAGTCGGGGCACTGCGAGGGAGAGGAGACAAAACACGCGTCAGCTAACGTGCACATCAATCGGCACACGAGCACAAACGGGTCGGTGGTTATAACACCACCCACCGTGTCGTGAATCTATTTTTTTGTGCAACTCCCTGCTGCTACTCAATCTGAATATTTATGTGATCCTGCAGACGCCATGATCTCACACTTTATCAAGATGAGTTAGCAGCAGTGTGACAGGTAAGGTAGACACCCACATTAGGGCCGTGCACGGAGCCAGAATGAGAAACTCACGCCCACAAACCCTGTAGATTGATAACTCATTTTCGCAGGGTTAAGCACGGATCAAGTCACACAGAATGCAAATTCTATTAGGAGGCAAACACGGCTGTCAATCAACAACGTCCAGGTGTTGGCGATCATCTTGTGTGAAGTCATTTTAGCAACAGAAATACTTGTCAAGTATCAACAGCAAGCCCCGTCCATAGATAAGACATGTTTTTAAAATGCAACAAAACTGTTTCCACCCCAAACAACTTAAAGCAGGACTTTAGGTGCGAGGGTGTGAATAAGCGTCTTATTGTTGTTCCCAACGAGGCTCTACGAGATTGTCAAAAGTCAGCAGAGGACGCAAAACAAAACACATCGGAGGTTTAAAAGAAAAATTCCATCAACTGCAAGAAAACCAATAAATTATCATAAAACCCACTTGAGAGTCGAAGCATGCGAAGAGCTCCACAAACGCACGCCATTTAGCATTGGCAATCTTTTTGAATTATTTCATCTCATCATAATTAGACCGGGGTCCACCTTCAAACACCACTCCCAATCTCTTTCCAAGTTTGCTAAACAAGCCCCCTGCCAACCAAGTAATTAGGCCCCGGCTCCCGTTAGCTGCTCGGCAAGCCAGGGATGTAAACACCGACACACCGTCGGTACGTCAGCAGTGATCGCCACGCGGTCACACCGACCGTTCAGAGGGTAATCCCGTACTAAACTAACTTCACCTGCGAAAGGCACCGGAGGGGTGGTGAGCGTGTGTGTGTGTGTGTGAAAATACTGGCTGAAACACCGGTATGTGCAGGTACTTGGCAGCGAGAAGGCTGAGTCCTTTGGCAGCCGTTAATTCTGAGTGCAGGGAAAAGGTGAGAGGGAGGCACTGGCAGCCAATCTTTTAATTGATGGATTCTCTGCAGGAAGGAGTCGGGGAGGTCAGTGCTGACGAGTGTTTGCACGGCGTCTAGACCGACTGAAGAGGCATTTTGTCCACCTGGAAGTGAGCAAATGACAGAACGGATCTCTCTGGATAATGGCCGTTAACCGCTTTTGAAGTGCACTAAATCCACGTTCTCCCTTTTCTCTGTGCAAAAGGGAAGAAGAGGAAACATCCTCGGTATCAAGATATTTTTTTGACACTTCAAACAGACTAGGACTTGATGCCTCTAATCCTGCCGAGCGCAGCGGTATCCCTGGTGGGAGCGTCGAGCGCTCTGCTGAATATAGCGCGCTCACTCCCAGACATACAGCCATGCATGCATGCATTTGCACACCGCCCCGGCCAGCTGTGCTCCTTCATACACATCCTACATCAGAGTGATAAGCTGCTATACTCGTACAATAAGGACACGAAAAGAAACCCACCCCATCTTCATGCATAAGGTCGCAAAGACAACACAACCCATTACAACCATCTCTTTCCCTAATGAGAGCTCTGCAGCCGTCCTCGGACATTATTAATAAAAATGGAGCGAGTTGTCTCTCCCGTCACTGCCAGCCTCTCCTGATTAATAGAAAGACGGGTTAAGTGGAGAGGAGGGAGATGTAAGAGTCGACATTCTATTAAAGGAAAAGGTATGCAAGAGTAGATAAGGGGGAAGAGAGCTGGAGGGGTCGACCATCATACATGGCTGAGAGACGAGAGAGGCAAGAGGGTTCAACAAAAAAAAGAAAAAAAGAGGAAAGAAGCATAAGTAGTTGGAGAAAAGATGAGGATGAAGAGTGAGCCAGAGGGGCAACAGTATGCAGGAGCAAATAAGGGGAGAAATCCAACTGGGGAAACGGGATGCAGACAGGAGGATTCAACTGTAGTTGGGAGGGGGGGGCTTTAAGTAAGTAACAGTGTGTGTGTGTGTGCGCACAGCCTCACTCACACTCTCTCACACTCTCTCTCACACACACACACACACACACACACACACACACACACACACACACAC